AAATGTGTGTTACATTTCGTTGCCAACCATTGGAAGTGGCAGAGATAGCCGGGCGGCACACGTCTGACTTGTCATCGACGCCAACGGTGAGAGATTACGAAATTAGTCATAATTAACAAAACCACTATAATTAGAAAATTATAAATTAACTATTAGAAATTAATTGAATTATAAATGCGAGTTCTGTTCAATAATTATCTACATGTATATATACATATATATATCTTTTTTTTTACAAGACTTGGGGCCAAGCCACGTGCTAGCCCGTATAATCTGTCCCTCACCACCGTCGTCGGTGCTAGTCTGACCACTGGGAGAACACAATAGCAATCACAAATACTGAGACTCACCGAATTTACAGAGTAGCTCACACAGGGTGGAACCTCAGCAGCTGGACCTCTCAAGAGTCACTTGACACGTATTAATTAATTAATATACAAAAACGGGATAATTATTCCCTTAATAAAAAAAACTTTCAATAACCAAAAAAAACCCACGTGTCAGCTCTTACACCGCTACCACCAGAATGTCGCCCCCCCCCCTGCGGTTCTTCTCTTACCTCGTGTTCCTACGCCACCAGGCAATTCAAAACAACTACTCATTGTGTGACTTTGCTATTATTTTTCTCCCAACGCAGAAAACACTGACGCGGGACATTTTAATAATAAATTACTAAATTTATTCTTATCATATTAGAAATAATAATTTTCCTCAACTTAAGCATATTTTAATTAATTGTAACAGGGTAAATTACCCTTAATCGATAAGTCGCCAGAGATCGATAACTTTTTCGACTAGCATTTTGGCGCATCGATCTTCGGCCCTAGAGAGAGAGTAGGAGGGGGTATTTTGGGGAGTCTTTAAATAGGTAAGCCATGCGTTGTGTCGGGAGAAGTAGTGAAGTGTTGAAACAAGTAAGATCGAGGAGTCCAAGAAGGAAGCCATTAGCAATCAAATAGTTTCTTCAACCAATTTACACCAGGTATTGGACTTTGGTAGTGATGAGCCTTGGGACCAAATACCCGGCTCATTAATGATACTACTTCTCATTTTTGATTTAATTAATGGTAATTCAGTTGTTTAATAATATTTTGTTTAATAATAATTGATTATTTTGATCAATTTAATTTGCTAGCTTTGTGAACAATTCCTCCTGGGGATTTTACACCCGAGGAATGTTCTAGACCTCTTGGGGTTTGGTCGTGAGTATCTAAATTATTAATATGGCCAGTAATAATTATTAACATCTCAAGATTGGCTAAATTAAATTCATTTTTTATTATTTAATTGAATTTCTGGACATCGAGAAATAATTCAATCGGCAGCTCACGACTTGGTCAAGCATCAGTACCCGAGGTCAAGCTTGCTACGCAGTAACGAACAACGGCGTCCATTTTGAGCGCGCGAATTCCTTGTGAATTTTGTGACGCAGTAAATTTATAAAATAAATACCTGGACTATTTTTATAAAAAGCAGCAATTAAATTACCATTTAATTAATTAATTTTATTGATTTATATTTGATTATTCATGAAAATGATTTATATTATATTTTGGAAATATTTTAATTACCGGAAATTGACTTATTGAGAACCTGCGACGCATTTAGAAGTTGCACGCCGTAGATAATTTTCTGCATTAATTTTACACCGAGGTGAATTATTAATCATCTAATCGTCATTCTCAATTACCAGAAAATTATTATTCCACGTGTTATTAATTATTGAGAATTAATTTACTAAATTTCGGCGCAGATAAGACTGATACACCCGTAGAAAAACCTTAGGCACGTGATTTTTATATTGAAAAAATTACTAATTAATTATCTAATTTAATTACCGATTTCTACCTGGGTTGTCTTATATATTGAATTCATAGCCTGTAAAATTTGTCAAGAATTTAATATCATTGTTCCGGTAAAATAATTGGTCAAACTATTTATCAGTGTGGATTACGTCCGAGAAAATCTAGTTAATTTTATAAAGAACGTTCTTCGAATTTGTTTAATGTGTTGAGTTACGCTCGTGTTAAATTTGGAGGGAAAAGAAGCGTCGGTTTTAAGTCCGGAATTTTAAGAAGGAATAAATTATTAGTTGTGAGAATAATTTATGGTTTTTATTGTGAGCTACTGACTGAACAATTTTAGAAAATTAACGTCGTAAAATTTTGAGTTCAATTGTGTAAATATTGTTATTAATAAAAGTAAAGTAGAGTCAGAGTGTGTGTGTGTGAGCGGGATATGTGTGTGGAGACGCGGGAGTAATGTGTGTGCGAGATAGTACCGCTCAAGAGGCACGTTGAGCACGCTTGAGTCCAGCTGATTCCGGGGCGGGAAATCCTAGAGCCGTTGTATAGACGCCAAGTCCCCACTTGGGGTACAGCGGTAGTAAGGTAGAAACTGTAGTATAGACGCTCCGTATGAGGGTACTACAGGAATAGGACCTTTTGATAGTTATAAGGATTACACATCGCCCTCGTATACGATAGCCCATGTATACGATAGCCTCTGTACGAGGTGCCTGGCTGGCTACCTAGAATCAAGTTGAATCGTGGAGTTCGTGGATTTAGTTATAAGGATTACACATCGCCCTCGTATACGATAGCCTCTGTACGAGGTTCTTTGCTGGCTACCTAGGTCAAGTTGAGTTGAGGAGAGTAGTAGAAGTCGTAGTATTAAGATAGTTGTAAGTGACTTAATTGTAAGTGAGTTGAGTGTACGTGCAAGTGCACGAGTTGTTAATTTTGTTGTTGAATAAAAACCGATTATTTTGTTAAATAAAAATTTATTCATTTTCAGAACACCTTCCTCCACTCTCTCTCCCTGTAGATTAATAAGCTCAGCTCTGGTATCCGGTTCCAAGAACCGAGAAAATAATCCTGGTGGCGCCCTGAATAGTTTTAGAGTCATTTTTGTTAATTAAGTTGTTGTTGTTTAAATTTTATCAAGGGCCAAAAGTGCGGGAAATAAACCACCCGTTACATAATAATCAAAATAAACATCTGGCAAATTTTCTGACAAAGTTTTGAGCATTTGCCCTGCGCCTGCGCGCTAATCGCTTGAGAAAATAGTTCCGTCGTATTTATTGAATAATTATCGATCATCCACCGCTGGCGTCAAATTATCCTTATAAATAATCTCATATTATCATGACTTTTAAACAATAATTTATAAATAAATTAAATACTAAATAATTATATAAAGAAAATAAATATTAAATTTTGGACTACCTTCGGTCAGCTGTGCTGACGTCCGGTCAGTGGCGGACCCTGGTGGCGCATAATCCAGCGGCTGACCTGGTAGAATATGCCGCGGAATTTTAAATGAAAATTACCGTGAAAAATTTAAAAAAACATGGATTCAAAAAAAATATCGAGTGATTTTGATGAAGATGGTGAACCAGCTGCTAAAGTAATTGGAGCAAGCGATTTAAAATTTGAAATATCTACGTTTATATTAATTAATTCATAACCCATTTGAAATACTTCTATTTTTAGATTCGAAAAATATGTCTGCCAAGTACTGAACAGTGTCTTAAACGTACTGACAGGTTTAAATTTAGAAACATATCAGAATCATTAGATCAAATTTCTGATAAAAATGAACCTGATAATGACAATGTTTTAGGTCTTTTAGACAATGTTTTAAAAGACATTGATTCAAGCTCCGTCAAAACATTGATAAAGTGCGTTTCTATGCTTTTAGCTGTTGTTATTTTATTTAAATTTTTATAAAATTAATTTCTTTACAAAATTAATTTGTATGTTAATACTTATTTTTTAGAATAATAATCAAAGGCTCAATCGTAATTTACCATCCGTACAAGCTTTATCAGCAATTACGGTATTTTTTTTTTCTATTTTATTTTTTATACTCTTTGGTTCTTTATACGTGTTATATTCATAATCATAATTATTTTCCTAGAAACTAGAAGAAGTACTTGGGTCATCTTCCGGAGGCAAACGAATTTTCCGTTACTATAAACATCACCAGTGTTTTGATGAAGCTCACCGAAAAAGATTTAGATTTAGATTTAGATTTTGTTTATTTTATGCCAAGGCACAGGCTAAATGGCAATTTCAAGTACATATATATTACATATGATTAAATATATGAGGTTATAAATGTGAGTACATAATATATGGATACATAAAATATTGATAGAAGTATATTTTTTGCTTTTGATGATACAATAAAAATTTAAGTTTAAAATGCATTTAAAGTGAAGGATAATGTAAGAAAAGAAAAGCTAAAAGATATAAACGAAGAAATACAGTGTAAAGATCTGACTTGATTTGATTTGATTTATATTTATTTTCTTTTTCATTTTGATTCAACTAATAATATTTAGATAGTAATTTATAATAATTTAAAAAGTAAAGAGGCTCAACCTTGAGCGAATAAGTTCAAACTAATTATCTACATTTAAGAAATAGTCAAACGCTTTACTTTTGAAGACTTCTAAACTACTAGAGTTTACAATATCACTCGGTAACTCTTCCCAAAGCTTGATCACTGTTACGATGTAGGATTTCTCGAAGTAAGATGTGGTAAAATTTGGTATTTTGAAAGATGTGTGTCTCTTAGCAGCGAGTCTATCAGACCGTCGAACATCTGATTCTTCTACAAACAGGTCACGCAGATACTTAGGCTTTCCATGTTCTAAAAGTTTATAAAAGAAGCAGACAGCAAAATAGAACCGGCGATATTTTACCGTTAACCATCCCAATTGTCGACGATGAGGACTGATGTGTTCATCTTTTCTGAGGTTAAAGATATATCTGATTGCAGAATTTATGGTTCGTTGTAGTTTCAGATCATTCTCAGAAGTAGGATTAATGAGCACAAGAGAACAGTAGTCAATTAGAGGTAAGATGGTTGCAGTAACTAAAAGCCTCCTTATTTCAGTGGTAAAAATGTTTTTTCGGGCTTTGAGGCTATGGAGAGCATAGTTCATTTTCCTCACAGTTTGTGAAATATGGTTATTCCATGAAAGATTTTTATCAATATGCAAAAAGGTGTTTTAGTTTACTCCAAACAGACGAATTAGACGGTAGTTTTGCTAAAGCAGTCTTGAGATACAATTCTCGTGCAAGTGCAATTTCAGTTTTTAGGTTCTTTCTCTGAGCCTTATAAAGTGCAAGAAAGGTTTCATCATGAGTTCTCTTGGCTCGTTTGTAGATTTCGTCACGCTCTTTGCATTTACTTTTCAATTCTTTGGTGAACCAGGGGTTACTTTGACGTACAACTTTCTTAGTGAGTTGAGGTGCATGTAGATCCAAGGAAGAGATCACACTCGACCTGAAGAGAGAGAACAGCTCGTTTGGATCGGAGTCTTCAAGTAGTGAGTTTTCAATTTTTAAAGAGTTTATTATGGAGCCTGATAACGCTTGGTGATCACAATTTTTTAAATTTCTGAACGTAATTTTCTTACTTATTTGGTGTGGTTGGTCTATTTTATATTGACATAGTAGATAGTCATGACCATCAGCAAACGGAGTGTCGGATTTTGTGAAGGAGACCAATTTACTTACATTATCAAGCAAGATGACATCTAGCCATGAGTCGCAGCTGTTTTTGTGAAATGTAGGGCCATAAGGTACACAGTAAAGAGAAGATTCAGTGATAAAGTCTTTCAAGTGGTTTGTGGTGTAAGAGTTTTCCATGAGATTACAATTTAAATCCCCTGCTATGATGATATTTTTGAAGTTGGGAGCAAGTTTGGAGTGAATGTCGAAGAATTCAGTAAGAAACATCCCTTTTGGTCTCCTGTAGATAGCAAGAGATGTGAGCCAGTTCTTAAAGTGACATCAACTATTAAGAACTCAGGTTGATTTATGTGATCAGACGCGGAGATGTGTAGAGCTTTGACTTTTAGAGAGTTGTGAATTAGACAAGCCACTCCACCTCCTTTTATGAAGCGTCCTGAATCAGCATGTTTTAAAGTTCTGTCCCTACGTACAATTGTGTAGTCACTGAGTGAAAAAATTTGATTGTTGAGTGATGGTTTTAACCAAGTTTCGGTAAGGATTATAATGTCGGGGTGAGTTTCATGTACTAGGTTAAGAAATTGAGCTACGTGACTTACAAGACTGTTAATATTTAAACTTAGTACATTTAGAAGGAAAGAATTTTTATTGGCAGGATTATGAGTTGTATCAATTTGGCGTTAGTCAAGCTTAGAGAGATCAGAGATGCAGGTGATACTAAGACGATCCGAGTTGTCATCTTTTTTGACAAAAATCCGTCCACTTCGAGCCCAGGCGTACTTAAAATTCATAGCCTTGGCTTTTTCCTTAGTTCTCATCAATAATTTATATGTATCAGGAAGTAAAAATTCATTTATGTAGATATTTCCATTAAGATTGTTGTTCCCGATGTCAGGAAATATGGTTTTTACTGGAAGAAGTTTTATTGTACGTTTGGTATCCACGATATAGTCTCTTATTTGAGACGACTTCAGGCATACTAAGAGCGAGTGTGAGCTGGGTGTGTCTTGATTTCCAGTACTGCTGGAATTTCGCCTATTTTTGGGTTCAAACTTACGGACATTTAGGACATCATTGATCAGTTGAAGCAGATTTAAATGATTTACTGCAGTAGAGATGTTAATAGGAGATAATTTTTTGATGATTTGATCAGGAATACCTGAAATCACCAGCTCAGCCGAACTTTGGGTTACTATAGATGCAGTAGGAACACTAGTACCACCACCTCCTGAATTTGAATTTTCAAGAGCAGATAGTTTTTCCAAAATCAATGTTTTATCGGTTTCCATTTGTGTTTTCAAATTGGTAAGTTCTCCATCAATCATAGTTATGGCATTTGCATTTACTTCCACGTTCATCGATAGGGTGTTTAGTTTATCTGCTGTCTTGGACTGTACATCTTTTAATTCAGTAATTTGTGTGCGCAGATTTCCAAACTGTTGATTTGCAGTCAACTCAGAGACTAAGAGTTTCTCCATTAAGGCTGTTACTTTATCATCTAAAGATTTTTCTGACCAACCTTCAGGCAAGAGCGTCGCTGGAGAGAAGGGAGTAGGTGGAGAGAAGACAGAATCATTTCCAGGAGTCGAAGACATGTTAGGTGTAATAGGTGACTTGAGAGATTTCGGAGTAGTAGTTGAAGACGTCGAGACAGGTGGCGAGGGAGAGTATACTGATTTAAAACTCGAGACAGACGATGTGCTGGCTTTGGTTTTGGTCGATTTCAGCAAGTTAGCTCGACTTCTTGTCGTCGCACTGGGAGGATCCAAGCTAAGAAGAAGGTGGCCCAGGTGTTTCCTACAGCAATGAGTCAGTGGTTTGTTTTTAATATAGTCTCTAGCGCAACTAGGGTGATAATGCTGTTTACAGGCACCACAAGTAACAGTAGACTTCACTGGCTGTTTGCACTTAACACAAATATCAGAGTCCAGAGGCATACCCCATAGAAAATTGAGATACAGACATAAAATGTCAATTTAAACTGTCAGTTCAAAAATCAAAACAAATCACAGTTACTATCCTAGTAGATGATAGTAATCTGATGCTACTTTTGATGCTAAGCTATTATAAGAGTAGATGGTGAACTGATGCTAATAGGTATCTATGCCAGCTTGGCTTGTATCAAAAGGATGTCAATTTGAAAACAATACGTCACATCACTAAGCACAAAACCTAACCTTCTCAGAATTCGTGATGATTTAAAATAGCTTCTGTTGCAATTCACCAGACAAAAATAATAAGAATTTATTATTCAGCGTGAAGATTGCAATTTTTGGCATGCAAGGATCTAGAACAGAAAAGGCCCGGAGGCAAAATACGGCAGAATATGATCAAATAAAAGAGCAAAGAAAAATGTGTATGTTTATGTACTCACGTGATAAAGCAGATTAGTTAATCTCATCGATCAAATAGCACAAACTATAGCAAGCTAAAAAATTTCAATCCTGACTTTTTTTCGTTGTAAATAGTGACATGCCATAGACTAAATAATTCGAGAATGCATGGGTATCCTCCAATGGATGAGAAACTACAGTTAAAAAAATACATTTCACAGCTTGCATCTACACCCGCCAGGGTACGCTAGAATTATTCTTACATAAACTGTAGTTTCAAGAGGATAGTTTGCTATATAAAATGCAGCCAACGCGAGATTTCGTTGGTACCAATTGTAAATTTTTATTATAATTACAAAAAATACTAAAATCTGAACAAAAACCGTTCCACTGTAAAAAAAATGGCGTTAAGTCCTCGTTCATAAGACTATTAAGAAAAAAAAATTTTTTTTTTCTGTACAAAAAGATATAAAAGAAAAAAATTAAAAAATCCTAGTAACCGATGTAATTATATATGATTTTCGGAAATTAAAATAAATTTTGTTGTAAATTTAAAAATTAAAAAAAAAATTT